GTGAAGCTGTTGTTTCTCAGTGTACCCTGCGTCTGTTGTTGTCGTTGGGTGCTCGAGTCTGTTCTGACCCAGGAGACTCTCCACGGAACAGAGTGGAACCACGGCTGCTGCTTGGCTGCCTTCCCAGCTGCTGCCGTGAGCCTTGTCTCAGCCACTGTGCCAGTTCTTCCGGTTGGGGGTCTTCTTCGTTCCCACTGCCCCTCTACCTGACCAAGCTTGATGTAGAGCCCCGCAGCTAGATCTATACACTCCTCCTCCTCCTCCTCCTTTTGAACGATGCCCACTCAGCCACTGTGTGTGGCTGCCAGTCCCAGTCAGCTTTGCTGCTCCCATCTCTTCATTCTACCTCCCTGTCTGGGCCTTCAGCCTCCTCACCAGTCCCTTCTGTCCATTCTGACCTTCCTCCAGGCCAGCCTCTTGCCTCTTTCTAAACACGGACACGACTGCCTCGATTTTCTTGTGAAATCCTGGGGTAGCTTCCTGTCACTTTGTAGGAAGCCTCTTGCTTCTCACCATAGCGTGTGCTTCTCTCCATTACCTGGATCCTGCTGACCCTAACCTTGTGCCTTTGTGGCAACAAGCTGCCATTCTCAGGCCCAGGGTGCGGCTCTGTGCCTCAGGACCCAGAAGTGTATTGTTGTCTCTGTCCAAAGCACTTTCTCTCACCATCTATTGTTCCTGTCTGTCGTTTTCTTTTTAACCGACAGACACTTGTTCTCTTGGAGTTTAGTAAGGTAGGTGTTCAGATGCGTGGCACCAGCTCGTCTCTCTCTGCTGTCTCACGGGCTGTGAGAGAGCAGACCCTGCAGGAGGCCCAGCGGGCCAGGACTCGGGAGACCCATGAGCGGGGCCTTTGAGAAGATGCTCTCCAACACCAGCACCCCCACACTCCACGCCCCCAGGGCCTGTCAGGAAAGATGAGTCAGAGTAATAAAATAAATGGCTTTAACATTTGAAAAGCACCGGGGGTTTAGCTAGGCTAAGGCACCCAGGCAGAGTAGGGAGGAGGTGGGGGCAGTGACAGCTGAGCTTCGTGTGGCCTCTGCCCCTCTCTAGGGTTGTTGACCAGCATGAGACTCAAGACACCCAGGAGGCTAAGTCATGGCCCTGGTGGCCCAAAGCCATCTTCCCTTCCCAGGAAGTGTCAGAGGCAGGTCCACTGTCCTAATCGGGCTAGGTTTATTGCAGATAGGATATTAGCCGGATCCTCGTTAGGAAACATGAAGTGACTCAACACAAGTTTTGAGCAATATAGAAGTGAAAAGAAAGCAAGTATCCTGAACTCGTTTAGCCCTGTTCAGTGCCGTTCTCATAGGAAAACCTGTGACCGGCGGTGAGTTGGGGAAGCCTCAGTCCTGTTGGCGTCCCCTATGGGCATGATGCGGTTCCTGGAGCAGCATGTGCTGGTCACTTGCGATGGGCGTGGCCCTGGAGAGACACTAGCATGGGAGGTCAGCAGCTGGGATGAGGAGTGTGTGTCGACATGGTACAAGCGGAGTCCGTGAGAGGCAGATGGCGGCCGTCAAAAAGACAACTTTAGACCGAGGGCATCAGGGGAGAATTCATGGAGGTGCTGGCTACCGTTTGAGTTCATACAACCCGGAAGTTGACTGACTGAGGGAAGCGGAAGTTTGAAGAGGTTTGAAAGTGCAGGATGCGTATGTGAGAATGGTGTGCTTGAGTGGAATGAGGGAGGGAGTCGTAAGGAGTGGTGCAGAGGGGAGAAATCTATTAGAACTAGATTGAGGAGAACCTTGGTGGCCCCACCAAAGAAGGTGGACTTCACCCAGTGGGCAGTGAACAGACGGTGACATGCTAGATCGCCAGGAATAATCACTCAGGAATATGTCGGGTGGATTGTTGTGGGGAGAACCGGAGGGAAAGGCCATTGTAGAGGTCCCTGGGTACAGTGCCCTGAGGAGGAAGGGGAGAATGAGAGCTCTCCTGGGCCCAGGTACCTAGCGGTAGGTAGGGTTACCATCGACAGAGACGCATGGTCTAGCCCAGGAGGAGGTGAGGGGCAGGGGCTGTCCGACGCGGGCCAACAGGTCTGGATAGTGTTTGGGGAACCAGCCCCACAGTCCTGACAGCCCATGAGAGCACGGGGCAGGGGCGGCAGGGCTGTGATTGGTTCCCCAGTGTCCCTGAGGGCAGCAGGGATGGGGATGGGGCTTGACAGGTCCCCTGGTGTGCAGAGGACGTGCAGGGAGGTGGATGGCTGGTGCCCCTTCCAGGGGTCCTGGCTCTGCTGACTTGCCCTCTCTTCCGACTGTAGGTGTAGTCGGGGCGCTGCCTGCCGAGCAGGTCCTGCCCGCCTTGCTGGAGAGGATGCCCCCGTGTCCGTGATGGGCTGTGGGACAAGCAAGGTCCTCCCTGAGCCGCCCAAGGATGTCCAGCTGGACCTGGTCAAGAAGGTGGAGCCCTTCAGTGGCATCACGAGTGATGTGTACAAGCACTTTATCACTGAGATGGGGAGCGTTGGCCCTTTCAAAGGCAGCTCCCCAGCCTCTGGTCAGCACGCACAGCCCTGCCCCGGTGCCCCCCCCACCGGGCACACTGAGCCTACGGCAGAACCGCCTCGCAAGGGCAGGGTGGCCAAGTACAGAGCCAAGTTTGACCCACGAGTGACGGCCAAGTATGACATTAAAGCGCTCATCGGCCGAGGCAGCTTCAGCCGGGTGGTGCGCGTGGAGCACCGGGCCACCCGGCAGCCGTATGCCATCAAGATGATTGAAACCAAGTACCGGGAGGGGAGGGAGGTGTGCGAGTCAGAGTTGCGGGTGCTGCGGCGGGTGCGCCATGCCAACATCATCCAGCTGGTGGAGGTGTTTGAGACGCAGGAGCGGGTGTACATGGTGATGGAGCTGGCCACAGGGGGAGAGCTCTTCGACCGCATCATTGCCAAGGGTTCCTTCACTGAGCGTGATGCCACACGGGTGCTACAGATGGTGCTGGATGGTGTCCGTTACCTGCATGCCCTGGGCATCACGCACCGAGACCTCAAGCCTGAGAACCTGCTCTACTACCACCCGGGCACAGACTCCAAGATCATCATCACCGACTTCGGCCTGGCCAGCGCCCGCAAGAAGGGCGATGACTGCCTGATGAAGACCACCTGCGGCACGCCCGAGTACATTGCCCCCGAGGTCCTGGTGCGCAAGCCCTACACCAACTCCGTGGACATGTGGGCGCTGGGCGTCATCGCCTACATCCTCCTCAGCGGCACCATGCCCTTCGAGGATGACAACCGCACCCGCCTGTACCGGCAGATCCTCAGGGGCAAGTACAGTTACTCGGGGGAGGTGAGTCTGCCCTGGGCTTGGCGGGGAGGTATCTGGAAGAAGTGCTCGCCCTGTGGGCCGCCTTGCTCACCAGGACTAGGTGGATGGTGTCAGGATGTCCTGGAAGGGATTTGAAGGAGGAACCACCTCGTGCTGAGGAGGCCTTCGGGCTGTGGAGCGGCCGGTTGGGGCGGTGCTAGGCCCTGGGTAAAAGTGTCTGTACCCAGAGTCGTGTAGGAAGGTGAAGAGACAGCTGGGCCCAAGGTCAGGGAGTGGAAGAGGCCCAGGCCTCCACCTTGCGGGTCACACAGATCACCTGGGGGTTGTGTCAACGGGAAGGTTCTGTAGCAGTCGGGCTGGTTAGGGCTTAAGATCAACTCTGAATTTCTCTTCTTTTCTTTTTTGCTTCGAACTCACAGAAGCCTGTATTAAACCACCATGCAAACTGAAGCGATTGCTTCCTTGAGGGATTCAAATCCTGTTCCTCTTAGACGTTTGTTGAGCATGGGAACAAGAAGACATCTGAAGGACAAGATTATGACTGTAGGATAGACAGGGCAAGGGTTTTGAACAGAATTCTTCTTCTTTTTTTTAATCATTTTATTGGGGGCTCGTCCAACTCTTATCACAATCCATCCATCCATTGTGTCAAGCACATTTGTACAGCTGTTCAACTCTACATTTCTAACAAGCACGGGGGGTTCTGATGCTTCTTCTGGCCTGCAGACCTCATGTAGAGGCGCAGGGTTTAGGCAAGAGCCATAAAAAAGGGATGGCTGGGTAGTCAGAGCCCTGGAGAAGGTGAGGCTTGGGTTTTGGAGGGTGGCTGAAGGAGTGGTGTGGAGGGAGGGGCACAGGACAGAGAAAGTGATGTAGTCAGACCCAGGATCTTGGAGGGTATCCAGGCAGTTGGTTCCTTACCCTGGCTCTGGAGAACCACTGGGGTGGTAGCTAGCGCTGGCATTCTAAGGCCCACCTAAGGCTGGGAGGCCTGCACCACAGGCCTAGTAGAAGCCATGCTCTCTTGTGTTTGTCTAGACCAGGGGTCAGCCAACCTTTGCTCTTGAGCCGTATGTGGTCTCTGAAGTAAAATTGAAAAATTTTAAAGGATATTATTCAGATAATGGTGATTTCATTTTCTGGCTCTCGAAGAGTTTTTAAATTGTTATGAGGGGCAGAATTGGCTCTTTCTGGAAAGGAGTCCTGGCCATAGGCTGGAGACAAAACAAGCTGCCAGGGCTGTCTGGATGGGGTGGGCAGTGGGACCGTCACCTTTGGGGCCTGAGAGACTCAGGGTCCCCTCCTTTGGCCAAGACTGGTATGAGCCAGGAAGCTCTCTTCCGGTTGCCTTCAGAGACTAGGAAGATCCACCCCTGCTTCCCATCCCAGAGGCTTCTCCGTCAGTTTTCCTTGTGATGCCCAGGGAGGATAGCTTAGTCGGGGCATGTCGCCCCAACCCAGTGCCGGTGCGGTGGTGTGTCTGCAGGTGGGGTCCTCTCAGACGCCTGGTGGATTGGCCATAGTGGCTGGCTGCAGATGACAGTGACACCAGCCTATTCTCAGGGCCCTAACTGCAAACCAGAAAACCCAGACCCCACCATATGGCGGCACTTGTGCCAAGACCCCTTACTGGACTCACTCTTACTGTAGCCAAGACCCCCTCCTGAAAGTCGTCTTCCAACCCTGCTCGGATCACAGGACACAAGCCTGAGTGTGAGGGGGCTCTGCCCAGCCTCCAGCACCCACAGCCCTTCACCTGGAGCTGAAAGGCCCAGAGCTGACCCGCTGGCTCTGGCCGTGCTTGTGTGGTACAGGAGCTTGGCTCAGGGGTCCTGAGAACAGATCTTCCAGCCTTGCCTTACCTGGCAATGCTGGTTTGTCCTTGTGAAGCCTGTCTGAGCACATGGCCGGGTTGGGGGCGCATTGCTGCCAGTTTCCTGTGCAGATGAGGGAAGAGTAAGAGTGGGAAGCCTGAACCCACCTCTCACCACATTCATTCGTCATCAGTGGCCAGATAGCAAGACTCTTCCCTCTCCAATGAGACAGACTGCTGGGCCAACAACTGGCAGAACCAGAAAGTAAGGCCCTGACGCTGGGGGTCTTTCTAGGAGCCCTGCGCTATCTCGGGGCGCTCCAACTTGATATGAAACATTGCGTTCCCAGCCTGATGCCCTTGCTTTTGTCGTGAGTTCTATTCCTAGGACAGGATGTAGGGAGAAGTTTTGGGAGGGCTGAGGGCAGAACGACAGGTGTGTCAGCCTGACGGTACTCCTGTGCGTGGTCAGTCTGAGCTGTGGGTGTGCCCAGGGCCAGGTGGTTCCAGAGCAGTGGTTCTCGACCTTCCTAATGCCATGACTCTTTAATACAGTTCCTCATGTTGTGGTGACCCCCCCAATCATGACATTATTCTCGTTGCTACTTCATCACTGCCATTTTGCTTCTGTTATGAACTGGGCCACCCCTGTGAAAGGGTTGTTTGGCCCCCAAAGGGGTTGCGACCCACAGATTGAGAACTGCTGTTCTGGAGAGTGAGTGCTGCCTCAAGCCAGAGCATGCTGGGAGTGGAAGTCTACTACCTAGGACTGACTTCCTAGGGCTGCAGGTGACCAATTGTCCACTTGGGCCCAAGAGCTGCTTACTCAGGGGCAGTGGTAGATGGGGCCACCTGGCAACTCTGACTGCTGGCAGTGGGCTGTTGCCCAGGCCAGAGTAGCATGTACAGTCCCCTCTCATCTAGCTCTCCCACTAGCCGCCGCCGCAGTGTCCTCACACTCACCGTCATTTCTGAAAATGACTTGTTAGTTGCCATCACACGCTGCTCCATAGACTTCTGAAGGCTGTGACCGCTGGAAAAGAAATTGCCAGGCCTGTCTCCCGATGTGCCTCTGGGGCGCTGCGGGCATCGCAGTGTTCTCCAGGGGAAGGTGCTCTTGGGTCATGTGCTCTGACCCGCCAGTGTCCGTACAGAGCCGTGGGGAGGACTACCCCAGGTTGTGGGCAGGCGGTGGGGTGGACTATGGGGAGGCATGTGGCATGTTGCCTAGCTTGTGTTTGTATTCTGTGGGAGGCTTTTAAGGACTCTCCCCCTCCAGAGCCATCAGCTCGTCCCTTGTCCCTTACTCCCAGAGTCAGCAGTAGCTTTCCCATGCCTGTCTCAGTAGCTGACAGCAGAGGGAACACAAGTTGATTTGGAATTCTTTGCTGTGGGCACCCAGGCACCTGCCTGCTGGGTGATAGCTGGGTGCGTGAATGGCAAGTGCCCCTGAACTGTGCTGGGTAGGTGCGTCACCAGAACGCTTGGGTCCCGCTATGTTCACAGGATTCTTCCCTCTTCATGGCTGGAGCAAGGGCCCGCAGGCCCTCTGATTAGTCACTGGGCTTGGAGACCCATTGGAGGATATGTGGGGGTCAGCTCTGTTTGGGTGGGCTGGGTGGGGACCGAGGACAGGCTCTGAGTGGGGAGGAGCAGCAGCAGCCCCCTCATGTGTCTCCTCTGGGCTCCCAGGAGCCCTGTCCCCCAGGTATCCATCCCTCTGCTGCTGTCCCCTGATGGCAGTGCCCTCCTCTGGTGTGTGGCAGAAACACAGCCTCTCCAGCCTCACGGCTGTTCCTACAGCAGGGCCTTGCTCTGACCTCCTCCTACGACATCTCACTCACCAGGGTCAGAGCTGCCTTTCAGCGCTGCTGCTCCCGCCCCCACCCCATCTGCCCAGCTCTCCACAACAAAGCAGTGCACGGGGGCTGTGTTCAGAATAGGCTCTGCCCCGCCATCCTTGCCTTCCCGCACGCTCTTCTCATTGTCTGTCGGCACCTGGCCAGCTGCCCTTTCACAGCCCTCTCGCTTCCAGGCCTCTCGTCCTTCTGTGAGCTGCCAGGACTGTCTTCTCGCCCACGTGCTGGCCTCTTTAGATGTGCTGATCCCACGAGCTTCCCTCCCGCTCGCTGAGCTACAGGCAGGATGGTGGAAGGTGGCTTGATCCCTTCATCCCCCACCAGCCGTGATTCTCTGGTCAGTTCTCCCAGCATACAAAGTCACGCTGTGTGTCTCCCGTGCAAGCGTGGTGCCCAGAACTGTGCTCTGCCCCAATGTGGCACACAGCCTTGGAGCAGACGCCGGTGCAGTCACTCTCGTCTCTTCTCTCTCCCTGTCATCCATGTTGACTGAGTGCCGCCCCTGCGCTGAATCTGTGCTCAAGAACCCAGGAGGGCCATGGGCCTCGAGGGGCCGAGGCCACAGCTGTGGGGGGGATGCTAACTGTCTCAGGCTTCCTTAGACTGGAAGGGAGTTGGGTTTTGCTGTTTTTCTTTTTTTTCTTTTTAAAGCTGGGTTGGGTCCAGCAAACCACCTGCAGCAGAGTCCATAGAGGGCCTCCTAAATCCAGAACCTTCCGAGGCGGCTCCAGGGCCATTTTGAAAACAGACATTGCTCAGCTGCTGGCACAGTCTGTTGCAGGCAACACCCTCCTGTCTCCCAGGGCAGGGGCAGGGGAGGCGTGAAGGTGGTGGCGGGTGTCTGATCGCAGCTTGACTAACCTTCACTGCCAGGCCTTTTCTCATTTTGACCTTCCTTTTCTGCCTCCTTTTAACTCCATTCTCACCCTTCTTTTTCTCCCTCCAGGCTCTCTACCCTTCGTCATTCTTTCTCCTGCTGCTTGTCCCCCACCCACCCCTCTGCCAGGTCCTGGGTGGTGGATTCTATGATACTGGGCTGGAAACCGGGACACCAGGATGGTGGTGAGTGTCTTGACCAGATGAGGCCATGTGGCCCCACTGCTGCCCGGGGTCTAGTTTGGCCGAGGTTCTGGGAGCACTTGTCTCTGTGGGCCGAGTAGGTGTGTGCTCTTCTTCTTGTCTTACTAATCATTCTGCTTTCCAGCGTAAACCTGGAGCTCCACTTCCCAGAATGCCTCCTGTGCCCTTTTCCCTGCTCTCCCTCAGGCCCACCTAAGTACCAGAAGGAGGCTTTTGAGAGTGGGACTATGGGTCTGAAAATACATCTTAGATAAAGCTGGGGGAAGAAGTGAGTCATGGCGGCAAAGCCAGAGTCTCTCTCCTCCGCCTCTCCCCAGCAGCGCTTTGGTGGGGCCACCCTGTCAGCCAGGGCACCTTTCCCAGAGTCCTGTTAGCATGACCAAGAGGTCAAGTGGTAACGTCAGCAGCGTACATTCTGGACGTGGGCTCTCTTCTTATGCAGCCAGGCCAGGAAGAAAATGGAGGCGAGGCTTTCAGACACTGCAAGAGGTCCAGGGCTCATGGCCGCCAGCTCCTCCTCGTGAAAAATGAAGAGGCTGTGCCTTTGTCAAGGTCACACAGCTTGGTGGCATCAGATTAGAGAGAAGTCGGGTCTCTGAGCTTACAGCCTAGCCTGAGAATCTGTCATCCAGACTGCCAGCCAGAAGAGCACCGGGCCCTTTCCCTCAGCCCCACGGCCAGTGAACAGGCCCTGGCGGTCACTGGGAGTGAGTGTTTTATGGGAAGAATCAGCTTCTGCCTCTCCCTAGGCTGAAGTGGAGGCTCCCGGTAGTGGTGTGGGTAATGTCCTCACTGGGCCCTTGTGCCACTAGAGCTAGAGCCTGAGTGTCTGAGGCAAAACCATGGACTGGGGCTGACGGGGGATCAGGTGGAGGACTCTAGGACACTGACCGGACAGTACTTGGGCCTGTACTTTCCGTCAGCCACCTGAAGTCCATGTATGTCCCTGGTCAATCCCTCATATCCTGAGGGGAGACTGCTGCCCCTCACCCAAAGCCAGAACTGCTAGAGCTGAGGAAAACTGCACAGACTGCTGACAGACACACTTGTGCCATTCCTGAGCCTGAGCATGCTGGGGAGGCGGTGAGTCTTTCTTAAGAACAGAGCCTGAGTCTAGGAGCTCAGCTGTGGGACAGGGCAGGCAGGGAGCCTTCTGTCTCCTTCCTGATTCCCATTGGAAGCTTCTGCAGGTTCCAGTCCAACCCCAAGCCCCGATTCTAAGAGTCACACTTAACCTCGCCTTGCTGTCACTGGCCTGGGTGAAGGCCTTTCAGGTCCCACCACCTTCCTGTGAGACCTCCCTCAGCACCCTTTCCAATTCACTAGGATGGGGTTGGGTGCCAGTGGTGCAGCCTAATTCACAGGCCAGGACGCTTTGAATCACAGCTGGCTTGGGGCCCACCTGGGCCAGCTCTTCACAGAGGGGGAGCGCTGGGCCAGCCCGCAGACAAATGAGTCCAGCAACATTCTGCTCACAGCTGCCGTAATTGGAGAGGCAGCGTCCACGGGGAGCTGGAGGGGCCTGATCAATCCCACTCAATTCAGCACAAACCGCCTGGTGTGAGCCTGTGCTACTCCAAAGATGCAGATGTTTAAGCTTGTGGGGCGGGGCTGGTGAGAGGCCTGGGCCAGCTCTGGTCTCTGCAGGAGCGCCACTGGCTTGCAGCTGCGGGTGGTTCTTCTGGCTGGTGTGCAGGCTCCACCATTTCCTCTATCCTCTGCAAGGAGGGTGCCCCTCTGGTGTCTTGAGATTGGGCCTGTTTGGGCTAGCCCAGCTTGCCAGCCCGACCTGCTGCTGTGCCACCCATAGGCCAGGCCACCCTGCAGCCTCCTCCTGGTGTCTGTCTTTTTCATGGTGATCATGAAGAGTCAGGCAGGCCAGCACACTTGTTCTCATGACCCATATGTTTGCCAGGGCCAGCTTCTTTTCAGTCTCTTGAGTGGTGACTAGCAGCATGCCTGGGGTTTGTGCTGACTGGCCCCTCTAAGTGACAACTGTCTGGGCTGCAGTCACTCTGCATGTCGGCAAGGTACCGAGCCTTGAGCCACACTAGACCCTCAGCACACCTGAACCAGGCTGCTGTGTGGTGGCTGTGACTTCTCTGGGTCCCTGCACAGCTCTCAGGCTACGTTGTGTTCATAGCTCCCCCATGGCTGCCTTTTTGAAGGCCAGTATCTCCCTAGGACCCCGGTGAGCTGGACCACCAGCGTGGGGACCCTCATTGCCTTGTCACAGCTCAAGATGTGCTTTCCAAAAGGCAGATGGGGACGGCCGCTGGAAGGTACCCCCTCTCTCTCAGGATTCCTGAGGGGCTCTCCCTGGCCCACTCTGTACGGAGACAGTGAGCAGGAGAGCCAGCCCGAGGAGGCAGCAGTCATTGCCACGTGACTGTATCTGCTACACAAGCTGGCTGCCTTCCCTGAGAGCTTTCCCCTGGGGAAACCCCAAGGTGAAGGCGAAGGTGTTCATGGGCAGAGCAGGCCAACCCCACTCAGGAAGGCAGGATTCCCAGATGAGCTGTCCAAGTGGCCTCAGAGAAGGTCTGAGCTGCCCAGCTTAGTGGAACAGTGGGGCCTGTGCCCAGTGTGTGTCCCTAAGCAGAGTGGCATGCAGGCCTGGGGATCTGCCCGCCATGCCCCCACGAGCCTGATGGTCTGGAAGCTGCCCTGGGGCGGGCCCTCCCCTCCCAGGCAACATTCTGTGCTAGTTTGTTATTCACTGAACCTTGTCTGCCGAGCACGGTTGCATGCCCAGTGCTGCGCTAGGCACAGGCTCAGCTAACATAGCACGCCTAAGGAGCACAAAACACAAGTCAGTCACAGCTGACCACTCGGTGCTGGCAAGTATCCTCTACCCAAGTCTAAGAACGCACCGCAGCCCCCGTGGTCACCCTGGCAAATGTAGGAGCCAGGCCTTGTGGGTTCCTCTCTCTGGGCAGAATGTGGAGGAATGGGGTGGCACAGAGCACTGCTTGAGGCCCCCATGTGGCCTAGAAAAGTTCTACAGGCAGGAGAGGGCCCTGGAGAAAGGCTGGCCCCCACCTGGCCCTGGAAGTCCTTGCCTTCTCAGGCCGCTGGGAAGGCTCCTGCCATGAAAAGTTTCCTTTTCTTCACGTACCCCCCAGCCCCCATCTCATCAGTTGCAGGGAGGGCCAGCCTTCAAAGACAAGGAAGTCCACCCAGGGGTGCGTGCCCAAGTGTGACTGGAAACGTGAAGGGCAGATCTGGACCACTCTCTTTAAATCCTTCTGAGTTACGGTCGCCCTAGGAATAGGGGGTTGGGGGCCTAAGCAGAAGGCCAACTTCCCAAGTCTGGCTTTGGGTCCAGGGCACCCTAGAAACTTGCCCCCTGGGAAATGAGGCGGGTATTTTTGTTCTTTGTCAGAGCCAGACTCCATCACCCAGAGAGCAGTCCCTCCCCTGCAGTGGTGGTGATGGTGGTGGGAGAGGGGCCCCAGAATGTTCTACATGGGAGGGTGAGGCAGTACCTTTCAGCCCAGGGGGAAAGTTCAGGGTGGCTGGTGGATCTGAAGACTTGGCAACACTGGGGGTGGGGGGAGCATGCTCAGCACCCTGGATCTAATGCTGTCCTTGGTCTCTAGCCCTGGCCCAGCGTGTCCAACCTGGCCAAAGACTTCATTGACCGGCTGCTGACGGTGGACCCTGGCGCTCGCATGACTGCACTACAGGCCCTGAGGCACCCGTGGGTGGTGAGCATGGCAGCCTCGTCATCCATGAAGAACCTGCACCGCTCTATCTCCCAGAACCTCCTCAAGCGTGCCTCCTCGCGCTGCCAGAGCACCAAGTCTGCCCAGTCCACGCGTTCCAGCCGCTCGACGCGCTCCAACAAGTCCCGCCGCGTGCGAGAACGGGAGCTGCGGGAGCTGAACCTGCGCTACCAGCAGCAGTACAACCGTTGAGCCCTGCCGTGTTGATGGGTGGTCCTGGCCTGGCCACGGCTCGGCTGCGCTTGCCGAGCCGGGCACCCTCTCTGGAGAGGCCTCCCTGGCCACAGGCCGGTGGAAAGCAACCCCAGTCCCCTCTTTGTCTTCAACTGCCTCCTTCCCCACTGTGCCTGCTACCATGGAGTCGGGGTGCCCGAGGGGTACTATGGACCCCTGAGCTGATGCCCTTTATGGTGGGCACATGTTCTGGTGACAGTTTGGGGCAGGATCAGGGACTGGGATTCACACTCTACTTCCACGGCTCTTCCCCCAACCAAAGGCCATGCCATGCTGGCTGGAGGGTGTCCTGTAGCCCACAACTCCATGTCACATCTAACTCTGGTACACCCCTCCCTCCACAGGGCCTCTTCCTTGGCCCCTGCATCTCACAGCAAGGGGTTCTGCAGTGGGAGGCTGAGCCGGGCAGTACATGGGCAGTGAGTGGGTCTAACCAGCATGCTGCCGACCAGCCCAGGTACACCTTCCATCAGGGTTCACGGCACACCTGGCCCCAGGACTGCCAGGGCCTCTGGTAGTAGGCCGTGGCCTAGCCCTTGGCCCTTTTGAACTGTGTGGTCATCTGTTGGCCTGTGGCTGACTTGCCCCTGGCTCAGCCTTCTTTGATCATGAGAGGACCTCCACCCATCCCCCTCATGCCTCTGCAGAGCCTCCACCCCCTCCCTCACCCACTGGATGCCACCTCTCTTCCCAGGTGCCTCTTTCCCAACTGTGGAGGGTTTAAGGGAGCCCCACTGCTGCTACCTGGGAGTGGGAGCACCTGGCTGCAGCAGAGGGTGGGGTCTTGGGGAACCCCATTAGGATTCTTGTTGGCCCTCCTGCTGTTCCTGCCTCCACCCCCAGCTGCAAGAAGGCGCCATCTAGTGTCTGGAATGGGTATTGGTTGTCCTCCGAGGGGAGGTGGGACAGGAGGAGCTGCTGCATTACTGAGGGTCCTCGGGGTCGTTCAGCCCCCCTTTCTGTTGAGCTTCCGTGCAGTGCCCCCTGGAACTTAGCCATACTGTGTGACCTGTCTCTGAACACTCTGACAGCTGGCCAAGCCTGCCCAGCCTGTCCTCTCCCTCCACAGCATTACTCTGGCTAGAAGGGGGCAAGCTCCTCCCTCTCACAGCTGCTGCTGGGGGTAGGTAGGGTCAGAGTCTCAGCCTGAGCTGGACGTCGCGCCCTGCCAGCAGGGAGGGCTTGGCCCCTACTCAGCTCAACCACTCTGACAAGTTGCCTGTGCCTTCCACACTCCTCCCTCTGCCCCCCAGCCCCGAGGGAGGAGAGCCTGGCCCCTCACTTCCCCTGAGGGCCTTTGTGCCTGAAGCTCTGGGGACTCCTTACCCCTGGGCCCAGGCTAGGCCTGGTCCTGAGGGTAGGACAGGGCATCTGGAGACTTGGGCCTTGGCTAGCCCCCCTGCCTTGGGTTTCTGGGCTGAGAACGTGCACTTATCTTTTTGGTGTACTCATTTGTAAAGGAGTCCTCTGTACTCAGTAAAACAGGCTGCCTCCCCAGGCAGGCCGTCCACTGCTCTGTGAGTCCTGGCTCCTTGCAGGGGTACCCAGGGTGGTCTAGTAGGAGCAGCAAGGAAGGACCAGCCCAGCTCCTCAGCCCCCGCTGTACCTGAAGACAAAGTCCAGGTGAACCCCAGAACCAGGAGGACAGAGGGGAACGGCCACGGTGAGAGCGGAGCCTGGAGCTTTATTGGGTTGAGCCGGAGAGGGGCCAGTGGACTCAGTTGTAGGCCATGACCTGGTTGATCCAGGCACTGAACTTGCTCACTCGCGCATACATGGCAGGTGTGTTCACGTTGCAGTTGGAGGTGCCCCATGAGACCACGCCAATGAGCACCCATGTGCTGCCCTTCTGGCAGACAAGGGGGCCTCCAGAGTCACCCTGTGAGGGGAGAGGGCAGTCAGCATGGGCATAGGGACACCTGGTGCTGGGGAAGAGCTTTGGGGGGAGTAGCAAGGGTCAGGGTGCTGGGGCTGACCTGGCATGAGGATGAGCCATAACCACCCGCGCAGATCATGGCGTCCGTGATGCGGGAGCCCCAGTACTGCTGGCACTGACTCACAGTGACCAGGGGCAGGGCCACCTGCTGCAGGCGGGCTGGTGTCACGTTGCCTGGGGGACAGGGTTGATGGTCAAGCTAGCCCAGGATGTCTTGACCCTACCCTGCCCCTCCCACCGGCCCCTTGGCTTTCACTCCTACCCACGCCGCTGATGCGACCCCAGCCAGTGGTGACACAAGTGAGCCCAGTGGGTAGCGTCTCTGTTGGGGCAGCCAGGCAGACGGGTGAGATGCGGGCCGTGTACTGGGCCGGCGAGGCGAGCTTGAGGAGCGTCAGGTCGTTGTTCATGGTGTTGGGATTCCAGTTAGGGTGTGTGATGGCCTGTGGGTCGGGAAGGAACAGCACAGGACAGGAGTGGCACAGGTACCCAGAGTTGGTGGATAATGAGGGAGTTAGGACAGGGCATGCCTGAATTCCTGCTTCCCCAAACCAGCCTCCTGGTCCACCTACCCGGGCAATAGACCGCACTTGCAAGGGCTCCGAGTTGGATGATCGGTCGTACTCGCCCAGGACGACCAAGTGGCGGCCGGGGCTGGAGAGAGAATGGAGTTGGGGCAACGGCAGCAAGGGTCTGGGGAGGCAGGGCAGCTGGAGCGGAAGTGCTCACCTGACATTGCAGTGGGCAGCGGTGACCACCCACGATGGGCTGATGAGGGACCCCCCACAGAAATGGAAGCCAGTGTTGTCCTAGAGTCAAGGGACAGAGGTTGGGGCGGGCTCAGGCTAATGCTTCCCTCGCCTGAAGGACCTGGGGCCCTGCCCCATCCCCGGGTACATATACCTGCAGGGACACCTGCCAGGGCCAGGAGCCGGGCACTGCGTTCTCCCCGTTGACGATCCTCTGGTTGAAGTTCAGCGCCGGTTTGATGGCGGGAACCCCACAACCTGGCCATTCGGGTGGTAAGGACCTGCCTTCCACACCTCAGCCCCCGCCAACCTTTCCCGGAGATGTTCCCTGGTCCTGCATCCCAGAGGGGTCCAGAATCTAAGGGGTCCACTTTCCCTTGTCACCTCAGCTCCCAAGTTCTGCCTATTTCCTCTAGCCTTCCTACTGTCCCCCAACTCCACTCCCTGACTCCCGACCCTGGGGTCGACGCCTCATGGGCTTCTCTTCCTTGCTGTCTCCTGGTCTCTTCACGTCCCACAGCTTGGACCCCAGCTCCTGTGTCCCTTCCCCAGCCTTTCAGGCCTAGTCCTGCTCCCTCTGCCCACTTGTGTCCCTCCCAGCCAGCCTGGCTATTCTCCAGGGGCCCGTTCTGTCGGGGCTGGTTCAGACCCACTTACCCCAGGAGGCGCCAAGGAGAATCAGGCTAAGGATCAGTCTGAGCAGCAGCATTGTGGCAAGTGTGAGATCAAGACTGGGGCCTTCCTATTTATGAGTCTCTGTGTCCTTGGGCCAACAAAGGCCTGGACCTAAAGCCAGGCCAGGTGTGTGGTCTCGGCCCCTTCCCATACTCCAGTCAGGAATTGGAGCTCTTCTAAGTCAAGGTCCCCCAACCCAGGGGCCCTGGAAGCCTGGACTTATCAGAACCCAGGTGTGCAGCTCTCATCTCCACCCTCCAGGTCTAGCCTCTGATTGGCCCCTCGAGCCCCTGCACATCCAGTGCCAATAATTCGGTACCAAGGACAGGTGCTTAACGTAGATGTATAATGGTAGCCTGACGGCTGGGCTCAGGGCAGGGGTCTCCCAAGATCATGAGGGCCCCTAGACTCGAGAAGCCTGCTAAGCACGTTCTGAGGTCAGGGGTGTTCCTGACTGATGGAAGGAGTGTCCGACTGACCAGCTTTGCTGTGAGAGGCCAGGGCCATATGGTTGGGTGGAAGGTTCTGGCAGGTTATGGCTCTGACAGCCATTAGCTGTTCCACTCATGCCCTCTGAGAGTTTGTGACTCCCACCCAGCACCTGAAGCGGTATCTAGAAAGGTCACAGCCACCAAACCTGGCACCGCCTCCAGGCCTTGGGGCTCTTGTGAGCACACCCCTGTCCTCTAAAGCCTGTCCCTGGGCTCCCGGGTGAGCCTGAGTGAGCACACCTATGTTCCAAGGGTTTAAGGGCTTTAACTACTTGACAAACATCAGTCAAAAATTAGATGACTCAATGGACAGTTAGATACGTAACAAAGCAAACACGAGGGTGGGTAAAAAAGTCCTGCTATGGGGGGTGTCTGATTAATACTGATTAGTTCTGATTAACACCAATTAAAATGGGTCTAATTTAAACATGCCTGTGCGATGAGTGGATGGCTGCAGATAAGTTCCCAGTGAGACACATGACTCCGTTTCAATGGTGCGTTCAGCGAGGCTTTCATGGGCATCGGCTGGGCTAGTTCAGGCAGATTAGCTCAGGTTATGGGGACTGATAGGAGGGTTGCCTCAGGCAGCCTTGATAGATTTCTCCAAGGGCCAGGAATAGTCGCGGGGCTTGTAAGGAAGACGCTTGAAGAAAACGCAAAACTAGAAGGGTAGAAAAAGCGCTGAGGATTCCATCTCAACGCGCTGCTCATTCTTCGTGCGGAGCAAGGGCTGTGCTTGGAGGGTTCCCTCTAGAAACCTGACCCCCCTCGCCCTACAGTCTCCTAGGCTTTTTTAGTTCCCAGAACATGTTAAAAGGATGCGGAACTGCTGTTTTGCAGTGTGAACAGTGGGGAGTTGCTCAGGACAGCATTCGCGAGAGAAATGCCACCTTCGGAAGCGTACAGACTCACATGGAGGCTATGCTGAATGCCAGTAGCTTCCCAGGTGGACATTTTGTTTAAAAGCGTTTCTAGAGATTTGTAGCAATACTTCCTGACAGACCCTCATGTGACATTATCACGTAAAACTGATGTTCACCTTTGCTGTTACATTCTAAACATACCATTAAATGGTGGGTTGGGGATAGGGGAGCATAAGCAGGGGCCCAGGATATCTAGGCTAGGGTTGATTCCGGAGTTGCTTGGGCCAAGTCTCCGGGCAGGGTACCCGTGCTGTTAGCACACAGCCCTGGCCGTGGGCCAGGCACCCTGAGGGTGCTCAGGAAAGGTTTAGAAAAGTCAAGTCAATTTGGCTCCTCACAGCCCAGCATGTAAGATAGCTTCCAGCTGACAGGTGTCCCTGTAGCTCTGAGGGACAGGCAGGCTAACGCTGTGAGAACTTGTTGGAGGAGCCCCTCTGTCCACAATGGTGTCCATGGAGGGCCTGGCTGAGTGGACTAGAGGGCAAGGCCAGGTAGGGGCAGGAGGAGCCTCCTCTGGTGTGGAGAGCCAGGGGGAGTTTAGGAAACAAGATGTCATTCCACCTTGAACCCACACTATTTGCCTGCGCTGGTGCCTGGTGGGCACTTTTGGGCCAGGTGCTGGAGTCCAGGAAGGGAGTGGCTGCTTCAGAGACACCCTGGTCTCAGAGACCTGCTGGCTGCCTGCCACCCTTTCCCCAAGAACGACAGCCTCTGTCTGGGTGCTTGCATTGTCTGGTTTTATTCCTTCTGGGCTCAAGCTCCACTTCACTCCACCTCCATGGTCTGCACAGTTTCCTCCAGCAGCTCCAGGGTCAGCGGCTTCACCATCTGGGTCAGGACAGGCGTGGTCCCAGGGGCAAAGTGGTACCGTTCTCCCCTGTGTGGGGGTGGGGGTGAGCTCTCAACATTGACCCATCATGGTCTTTCCTTGCAGCTGCCTGGCTTCCCTGCTCCCCCAACCCTATCGTCCCATGATCCCACCTCTTTATGGGCTCTGTGGGTGAACTCAGTGTCCGCAGCAGCTTGGCACCGGTCCCAGTGATCACACAGGCATCCACGCTCCCCCCGGAACCCAGGTCACCCAGGATCCCTGCGGTGATGGCCTCCACCAGCAGCCCCTGGGCATCCTCCAGCTGTGATGAATATGAAGGGCAAAAACTCTTCTGAGTTGTCTACACTCACTGCTCCACTACCACCAGCCTTTCCCCGCTCAACCTGTTCAGCCTACCTTGGTCCTTAGCCACCTCTTTCAGTAGCTTAAATCACCTACTTCCCACTCCAAACAAAACCCGACCTCCAACCAGTATGGGGTCCACTACACTCAAACGGGCCTGCCCGGATGCTGGAACCGGTCGGTAGTCTGTCCAGGCCATACTCCCACCCCCACGTTCCGTTCACCGCTCAAAAGTAACCTCCACCTTCCCACTGGGCCGGGGTCCTGTGTTCCCCAGGTGCACTTCCCACCAGTGAGTACTCCGTGGGGGATTGGAGTCGCTCACCGTCATGTTAGGCTGGAACCGGTCCTCCAGCATCGCCATGGCCGCGTCCTGGCCGGAGCCTGCAGGCAGAAGAGGTATCGGGGTAGCCTCGTCCTCTGCACCGGTGAAGCGGTGCAAACGAGACCAGGGTAGCAGGGGTGAGGAAAGCGGGGAAGAGACGGAAGCGCTCACCCAGGGCTGCGAAGGGCAGGCGACTGTAGGAGCCATGGGGGTGCACACTGTACAGCTGAGGACCTTTCACGTCTACGCCACCCACGATCAAAGATGCACCCACGTGACCGCGGTACCTGTCGGCCAAGTAGGCGTCATCCTTGTGCGTGAAGCACAGGCCCCGCCCCTTCCCGTAGTCCGGCCCTCTCTGACTGACATCGCTTGTTCCTGTTGTTTATCTCTTAGGCCAACCCCTTCCGGTGCTCCCGCGTCGACCCGCTCCACCCACGTCCTTAGCCCCGCCTTCCCCCGAGGCCCCTCCCCGGATCGCCTTAGCCCCGCCCTCAGCACCGGAAGAGAGTCTGGCGTAGCATTCGAGTGACGGTGGCCACCCGGGGCTCGCGGCCCGTGGATAACGCGTGTAGCTCCATATTGGACGACGCCATCCGCGTGGTCATCTCGGTGTCTGCGGCTACTCCAGCCCCACAGCAGCTGAGGGCGAAGGGGGGGCCGGTGTGGGCGGGGCTCGGATTTGCAGGGGACGGGGCTTGGAGGCGAGGGGGCGGTTCTTGCGTGGGGAACGGGGCTTGGAGGGGCCTCACTAGATTTTCGGAGCGATGAAATGAATCTTCTCGCAGTTCTTGTCTGCCACGACCGAGTCGTTAGTGGCCCGTGTGTCCGCGCCCAGGATGACCCCATCCTAGGAAGGTTGAAGGGCCGCAGGATCAGTGCCTGCCCAAGTCCACGGGCCGCCCTTCTGGGTTCGCCCCTGCCCGCCCTCACCCCCTCCTTCCCTGACCCGGAAAACGAGGCCAGCGATGGTAGTCCCAGTCTTGCGTGCATTAGGAGCCCGGAGCTCCGGCAGGACGCGTTCCAAGGATGTGTTTCTGGAAAGGGAGACGGCACCCCAGGTCTTAGTTCTTCCGGGATCTTTCAGCCCCAGACCCCGTCCTGGGCTCCCGATCTTCCTAGGGTGAGCCCGGCAAGTGGAGGCACCCGCACTATGTTTCACCGCCACCGCTACTACGGGGACAAAAAGCCCTGGGACACCCCCCCCCCTTCCTCCACCCAACGAAGCTCTGATCGAGGGAATGGCAGAACGGGACCCCCCCACCCTCGGGCGCGCACACACACCTCTGGCAGTTTTCGAAGGAGAAGCCCCCCTGGGGCGCCAACTCTCTTTTCAGCATCTCAGGGCAAGCTAGGAGGCCCACGGGCAATGCTTTGGTAGGGCAGAGGAGCGCGGCGAGCGAGCGGGCCAGCAGCGGTGGGAGAGAGACCGGCTTCGGGCGCCACGTTTGATGCTTCCTGCTTTCGCTTTCGCCTTTATTCGGAGGCGGTTGGGCCCTTCGTCCATGCCTTTCGCTTTCACCTTCATCTGGAGCTAGTCAGCTGTGGGATAGGGATGCCCCTGCTCTGAGTTCTCTGCGCAGACCACTGACCAATTGAACCTATCTATGTTCAGCTCCTCCTCCCCCATGTACTTCCTGAGGTCTGCCTACCTTAATTCCTAAACTGTTCCTTAAGTCCTAAAACCCTGGAGCCGCAGACCATTGGCTAGGACCTCTGCTTTGCTCAGGGCCTCTGGATGGCACCCTGCTCTGCCGGTATCTTATCCTTTATAACCTGTCTCTTCTCAGTTCGTGCCTTGCCTTTGTTGCCTGCCTCCTCCTTGGGACCTCAGTCCTGAGGCTAACCTGAGCCTCAGTGGACACCAGTCCTCCCATCTGGAGGGGGCCACATCGTTATCCAGCTAGTGACCTGGAAGCCTGCGGGGGGTTCCCCCTGTTGCCAAGCCTTGTAACCTTCCCTCTGAAAAGAAGTCCATATATGTCCACCGGGCCTCAGACTGTTAGCATCCTCTCCCCTGGGTACTGCCCTGGCCACTCCCTGGATTCTCTACATGGAACAAACCCTGGGGTAGCTGAACTTGGCTCTTGGATCAATCCCTGGTCTTTCACTCTTACTGCCCAGGTGTGCTCCTCACAGCACTTGGCTGCATTTAGCAAACCGACCTGATTGATGGCCGTCATTAACTCCCACCCCCACCTCAGACAGATTCAAGACCAGAGCAGGTGTTCAAAAGGTCTGGTGGAGGTGGGTCCTTGCCTGCCCTTTGGGTGCTAGGAGAGCCAGCTGGGATTGTCCCCCTGTACCCTTGACTCCGTGTCCCCTATCGCTGAGCTGTATGTGCCAGGCCTGGTGCAGAGGGGCACAGGAGGAGCTGCCCAAAGAACTCCCCTTCAGAGTGGGAGGCTGGGGTGGCACCCCAGGGAGCCTGATTCAACCCGTTTTAAGAGAACCCAGCTTGCCCTGGGTTGGTGTGTGGACCCCCCTGGTGCCTCGACCCCATAACCCACAATGTACATCTCTTGGTTTAAAGCAGCAAAGGAGAGTTTATTCCGGGGGCAGGGGCCCTGGGTTGGCCGCCCGGGGTGTGGGGGTGCCACTGCGGTAGGCGCCCTGCAGGATGGCATTGATGTGCTCCAGTGTCTCGTTGCTGAAAACCAGGTTGAGGTGCTGTGTTCCGTGCAGGGGCAGCAGGTGCACAGGCTGTGGCTGAAGGCCCTTCCAGCGGGCACAGAGCTCGGTGCTCCGTGTTGCCACCGTGTTGTCCCCATCCTCATAGAGTACAGACACGGGATCCGAGAAGGGGAAGCCGTGGTCATAGATGTAGGTTTGGGGGGTGGGCAGGCCCTTGCTGTACAGGCAGTAGACTTCCACGCCGGGCGCTGGGAGCTCTCCCAGGTCACTTGCCTGCAGCCACATGTCCCAGCCTGCCTTGAAACGTATGTCTGCAAAGAAGCGCTGGTAGTCCCGGCTGGTGTAGTTGAAGGTGGGTGTGGAGATGAATATGTGGTCCTCCGGCCAGGCCATGCTCGAAGGTAACATCCAGGGGAAGGTCATCGTTATGCGCTGCTCCTCCTTCAGCTTGATGCTGGACATGATTGGAATGCCCTGGTTGTCACCTGTGGATGTGGACCCCCAGGTGGGCAGGGAGCCAGGCAGCCACCCCTACAGCTCTGGCTCGGCTGGGTGCGGGACCCTGAAACTGCCCAGGGCAGACACTGGCTTGGAGTCACAGACCCGAACAGCCAGGTACTCAGTAGGTGCTCAGTGTGTGCTAAGTGAGGAGTCCTGATGGCCTCTCAGTGGGGCTGCCAAAGGCAGGGGTGTCTTAAGAGTGATGTGTGGGAATGGCAGAGGGGTGCCTCTGGCTCTCATTCCTCAGGCAAAGGTCAGCTGGGCTCGGGGACTTATCCAGGAAGGAGGAAAGGAGACCCTCTTTTGCATTTATTGGTGAGGTGATCTGATAAGTGTCCGCCCTGTGCGTGTCTGGGAGGCTATGCATCGGGGAGGAGTGACGTCAGTGCTGGCTCCCTGGTGGAACTCCTAGGGTCTGGCCCATAGTAGGGCAGGTCCCTGGGCAAGGGGCTCTTGACAGCAGAAGACAGTAGGAATCTGGGTGAGCTGTGCAGACCGAGCTTGGGGCCACAGGGAACAAGCCTCAGGTCCTGGGCTCACTTCCTCTGGGTTTACTGCCCTTGGTCAGCCTTGTCTCTCTGGCAGGAGCCATCCTGGTGGTCCAGGTCCCGTTCAGCACTCTGTGGGCCAGAGGGCAGGGCCCTAGGGAAGGCGGTGCCCCTCACCTGTAGCCAGGACCAGCAAGGACTTGACGGAGCCGCCCCAGGGTGCCCCGAGAGAGATGAAGCCATCGATGAACTGGTCCTTCCAGGCCTGAGGCTGCTGCAGCAGGAAGTGGAGCAGGTGCAGGGAACCGAGGCTATGCCCAATGAGGAAGACCGGCTTCCCGTAGGTGGTGTGCATCTCCTCCACCAGGCCAGCCAGCTTCCGGTAGTACTCTCCCTGTTGGCCTGCAAGGGGGGGTGGGGGGGGCGGTCAGGGCCACCAGGGTCCAGGGCCGCAGGAGCCCACCCGAGCCCATCACAACACTCACTGGGATCCAGCCGCCAGTCATAGGGGGCGGCCCGCACCGTCTCATCGCGCACGTAGCCGTTGTTGACCAGGTTCTGCACCAACGTGTGCATGTAACCTGTGGGGGCAGCAGCGGCACTGGGGACTCAGGCTTGGACTCTGGCTCCTGGCACCGCTGCCCTTGCCCCTGAGACACGCACCTGCCAGCTTGTTTTTATCTATGTACTCCACGGAGTAGGTCTTGCCAAAGCCAGGGACGCGGATCTGCACACCGGGAGCATTGGACACTTGCCCAGAACTGCGGTTGTAGACCACCCTGGGGACAGCGGGTCCATCAGCAGGCCGGCGGCCCAAGTCAGGGCCCAGGGGCTGCTGGGCTGGAGGGGTCAGCACTCACCTGGTGTTGTCGATCCAGCAGTCCACCCCCAGGGGCAGGAACATGTTGAGGTTCAGCCAGATGGTGAAGAAGTCCTCCGTCTTGCGGTAGCACATCCAGTTCACCACGTCTGGCTTGTCCAGCTTGGCTTCTAGCTGGTTCCCCATGCAGCCAGGCACTGTGGGCACAGGCCCTCACTCGGGAACCCCAGAACCCACATAGCCCCGCCTTGTCCCTCCCCCAGACCCACACCATGGTCTCTCAGCTCTTAGCCCCTCAGGATCCTGGTCCTAGTCTCTGGTTACCCCAGCCCCCACCCACCCACCCCGTGGCCCGTAGCCTGGGCTCCCCTGAAGCCCAGAGGGTGCTGGGGCCACGGCCAGTGACCCCTGCCTCTGCAGAGCAAACAGCCAGCCTGGCTCTTCACTGCCAAAGTCCAAGGTGAGAATGTGGGGGCCAGCAGGGTGGGCCTCTCCCGCCCGGGGCTGGGCACCTTGGCTCAGATGGGGTGGGGGCCTTGGAAGGAGTGGGGGCCAGGCCTAGGGTCCGGTGTACCACCCCTGGTCAGGCCCTCCAACCGGTGCCCCTCCCAGCCCCTGGGACTGAAGACCCAGGAAGAGGGGCAGGATGGTGGGGCAGGGGGCAAGTTCTCTGCAGGACAAGCCCTTTGGCCCTTGGACCCCAGAGATGCGAGCTGGGCTAAGGCAGGAGTGGGGCGGGCAGGGTGTGCCCCTGGGGGCTGGTGGGGGCTTATCGAGGACGATGGGTCGTGTGTGGTTACTGAGCTCTGCTCTGGGCGTGGTGTGCGGGGGGAAGAGCACATTGAGGAGCCAAAAGGGGGCAGCAGGCGGGAACAGCAGCCCCAGCAGCAGCCCCCACTGCCACGGGGAGCCAGGCGGCCCCATCCCAGCCCCAGCGCCTCTGGCTGGCCAAAGCTGACCTGGGCTGTCTTATCTGGTGAGTGGTGGGAGGGCCCAGGCCCCATGGGAGGGGCAGCCTGGCCAATGGGGGTGGCCAGAGCTGGCCAGAAAGGGGCACGGTCTCCTCCGGGAAGCGAGCTTTGGGCCTGAGTTCAGTCAGCCTCCCTCCTTTGGCGCCAGGGGAAACATCCAGGGCGGCAGGAGGCCCAGAAGAACACAATGTTTTATTGAAAAAGCCAGGCCTCGGCTTGGCTGGCTCCCTCGGCTTGGTGGGGGGTACCCTGCCCACTGCAGCCTGAGCTAGGCCTGCCTACAGGCGGGAAGGGCTGTACCCTTCCCACTGCCCCCACTCCTCTTCTGTTGGTGACATCCAAACCATCAATAAATACGCAATAAATACTGCTCCTGGGCCAGGCGCCCCCAATCTGCGTCCGCCTCTCCAGTCCCTGCAGCCCCGGCAGGACCCCTGGTGCAGGTTGAGGAAGGCCCCCACCTCCCTGACTCCCAGACATGCTTGGCCCCCTGGCCACCCCCAAGGCCAGGCCCAACTCCAAGGAGACCCAGCAAGCAAGCTGGACCGAGCAGTGCGCGTGGGCAGGTGCGCAGGGAGGCTCTTTCTTGGGGGGTGTGCTGGGATCAGGAATAGATGGTGATGACTTCTCGGCCCCCACCCCGAACCAGCAGCACCCGCTCCAGGCCCTCGGTCAGCACTTCCAGGAACTCCATGTCTGTGGGCACCAGGTCAAGGAGGCAGCACAGGGACCAGGGGATTCTGCCCCTCCATGGCAGGGGTGGGGAGAGGGCAGGCACTCCCGGGAGACACGCCCACAAAGGGATACAGTTCTCGTCCCCCTCGCTGTTCTTGGGCGGGCCGGGCATGTTCAGCAGGACTAGGCGGGCGTCGTGGGAGCGTGTCACAATGACTTCATTGAGTTTGACGGCCGTGTGCATGCGCCGCACGTTGGATTGGTCTCTGCAGGCCACGCAGCGGATCGTGGATCTAAGTCAGCCCTGTCCCTGCGGCCGGCCTGCCCTCCGAGCTGGTCTGTCCCCAGCCCGACTCCACCCCAGACCCTGCGGCGGGCGGCGGCACTCACGGCTTCAGGTGCACCAGCTCCCGGAAGTTGTCGGGTGTGTGACCGGGGTCCCGGGGCTCAGTCGCCAGGTACTTGTCCCGGGTCCACGTCATCTGGATCTTGTCGGCTGCGGCTGCGGACTCGTCCTCCTCGTCCCAGTACAGGCTCTCCAGCCGCAGGACCGAGTGCCGGTCCTTCACCAACTGGGCCTGGGGGCGGCCAGAGGAGGGAGGAGAGGGTGCTGGTTGACCGAGACCTGGCGCTGGCTTCGGTGGGGCTGCAGGCGTCCTTCTGTCCTGCTGCCCCACTGGCCCTCCTGCTTGCCCGGCCGGCGCCCAGGCCACTGACCTCTCGCTCCCGCTCAGTCTTGGTCAGCCGCATCTGCCGCAGCATCTGCGAGCGCTGCTCCATCATCAAGGTGCGCTCGTACGTGTATGCGGAGATGTCACTGTCGTGCTGCCGGGAGAGGGGGGCAAGGGGGCGGGCCGTGAGGGGCTGGCTCTCAGTCCCGGGCCCGCGGGGCGCGGCGGGAAGGCAGCTCACCATCTCCACCACCTCCACCTCGGCCTCCAGGCGGAGGTGGTACAGGAAGACGGCCAGGTCCTTCTTCATCTGGATGCTATTGTCGTCCATCTGTGCCACGGTGAAGATGCGCATCCGGCATTTCCTCCACACCTGGCGCGGTGGGCGGGCGGCTCACTCGCTCAGCCCCACCCCTAGGGCTGGCGCAGCCCCGGCACCCCACCCGTCCACCCCTCCTCGGGCACGCGCCTGCGCCCCCCACACCACCTTGTGCTGGCGCAGCAGGAAGGGCAGCAGCATGAGCATGCCGCCGTCGTGCACGATCCACCACACGTCGATGTGGCCCTCCAGGTAGCGCTCGGGGTTGCTGGGGTAGAAGGCGATGTTCTTGGGCACCAGCAGGGCCAGGTGGGCGGCTGTGGTGCAGCGCACCGTGTCTGAGGGGAGGGGGGAGGGAGGGGCCTGCTAACCGCCAGCCTCGGGGCCTCGGCCACCTCTTTCAGCCCTCAGCGCGTCCCTCCTGACCCAGCCCAGGCCCTGGCTGCGGGCGCACCGATGAAGGTCTTCCAGGCGCGCGGGTCCTCGCTCTGCCGCCAGCCGTAGGGCCAGCCCAGCACCACCGAGTTGTGCCTCATGCCGCCCAGGCCGCTGGACTGGATCAGGTGCGCCAGCCCCTCACGCACCTTGCTGGCCACCACCACCTGGCAGAAGCCCTTCACCCTGCCGCCAGCCGTAGGGCCAGCCCAGCACCACCGAGTTGTGCCTCATGCCGCCCAGGCCGCTGGACTGGATCAGGTGCGCCAGCCCCTCGCGCACCTTGCTGGCCACCACCACCTGGCAGAAGCCCTTCACCCTTTCAATCGCCATCATGTTCTTGATCGTCTGGGGAGGGGCACACCAGGATCAGAAGGCAGGGCCACCAGGCCCCTGGGGCACAGAGCCAGGGGTGAGTGGGAGAGACACGGGGTCGGGGTTGGGGGTGGGGGGGGGTCAGGCTGCATTTCCAAAATGACACAGCTGTCCCCACCTTGCTCCAGCGCTCAGCTGCACCAGTTGCCCACCCCTGCTGTGGGCACCTGCTCGGCCGCCTGGGCCTCGCCGTAGCTCTCCAAGAAGCTGCCCTGGATGACGGAGCCCACGATGGTCAGGCCCTTGCCGGCCTTCAGCTGGGAGGCGAAGGTGAGGAGCCGTGGGTACTTCACGTGCAGGTCCTCGTCCAGCTTCAGCAGCACCAGCAGCTGGGGCCTGGGCGGGCAGTGGGTGGGCAAGGGACAGCCTGAAGCCAGGTCAGAGGCCTCCAGGGAATCTGTCACCTATCCCTCTTGGGGCGCGTGTCCCACAGGTGGATCCAAGGAAGGGGCTCCAGCAGGCCAAGATGAGAAGCGGGGGCTGGGAAGGGGGAGCCAGCACTTCTTGACACCCTCCCCCTTCACGCACCCCTGGAGGGGAACTCACCGCCAGTTCTTGGTGTGCGGAGGCCCCTCCTCCAGCCGTAGCAGGGCGTAGCGGGCGGCGCTCAGGGACAGGCCTCGGATCCCGTCTCCCCACTCCTTCTCAGCCCTGCACACACAAGCTGATGAGCCCCTGGGCACACCAGGCCTTCCCAGCTGTGGGCAAGTGAGATGGAAGGGCCCAGGCTCGGAGTCCCAGCCTCCCAGCCCCCCAATGGCTAGGGAACAATGGCTCAGCCTCCCATCACACGTCTCCCCCCCTTCTCCCTGTCCCTGTGAGGCCTACCAGGCACCATCAAGGCCATAGACCCTGTGGGGAGAGGAGAGGAGAGGCCAAGGGGCGGCGCCTTGCTCACCCTTGGTACTCGATGTACTTGTAGATCATGCCCGCGATGAGCATGGCCACCAGGGCGTAGTACCAGGAGGAGACAAACATCAGGGCCAGGCAGAGGCTCATGCCCAGGAAGGACAGTGCCCTGGGCCGGAAGCAGAAGGGCAGAATCAGGGCAGGCCTGTAGAACCCAGGTGGGAGCCTGCCCCATGTCACCCAAAGCTGGGTGAGGGAAGTGGGGCAAGTCCCACAAGCCCCTTCACCAGTGTTGCAGCAATAGCAAACCCTATCCAGAAAGGGGCCCCTTGCCCCCCCCTCCCCCCAGTCTTCCATGCCGGCAGACCTGGGGCGAGCAGCCAGGGCTCACCAATGGTAATACTTGAACCGGGGCCGCCAGTTGGGGGTCCGCAGGAGCGTCTGCACAGCACAGGCCAGGTTGACAAACAGGTAACACATCAGGAAGAACCTGCAACCAGGGGGGCGGGGGGTGGGGGGGTGGGGGGGCAGTGTTGGAAGAAGGCTGCTGCCTTCCCTGCCCTCCTCAGGGCACCGGGCAGTGTCACAGCTGTGCCTGCGTGGGCTCAGGCTCCCAGCCCTCACTGGGCGATAAGCCACCACGGGGAGGGTGGCCCCGGCTCCAGTGCTCACAGAGAGGAGGTGGGGTTATGGGGGGGCATGCAGGGGGTATAATGTATGGGGCTGGGGGGAGGGCGCAGGGGCATGGCCAGCAACTGGATGCAAAGAGTCGGCTGGCTGGACCCAGGAAGCCTTGCATCTGGATGGACAGGTGGATGAGGGGCTGCTTTGAGTAGGGGGGCGGGCGGCGGGCAGAAGCAGGGGACGGGACCACATCTGGGTTGCGGGAGAGCTGCTGGGGAGGGGCTGCTGTGGGTGTGGGCATCTGGGACATGGGAGCTTCCTGGGGAGACTAACAAGAAGCAGGGGGCTGAGGCTGGGGGACCGCCAGCCCCCTCCCGCCTCTCCTGAGGAGCTGGTATGACATGCTGGGCTGAGGAGGCAGGGTTCCCCATAGAGGGCACCTGGGGGAGCGGCTCAGCCGTCGGTGAAAAGGGCCGAGCCGCGACCCCAGGTGGAGGCAGGGGCGCTGTCAGGTGTGCAGCTGGGTGGGAGTGGGTGGCAGGGGTCTTGGAGGGATGGGACAGAGCTGGCTCCGCCAGCAAGCCCTGGGCATTAGAGAAGGGACGAGCCCTGTCTGCAGTGGAGGGAGATGGGCACGCTGGTGTGGGAGTGGGCCCTGACACAGGAGGGGTGCACACAGCCACCAACCCAGGTGTGCCTCAGGGACCCCCAGCCACATCCCCCAGGACAGCAGCGGACTCAAATGGCCAGCTCACTCCAGAACTCCCAAAACAAAGGACTTTGGGGAAGAGGGAGGGCAGCGAGTGGTTGCACCATCGAGGCCCCAAGGACAGCAGAGGTCTGCCGGCCACCTGCTGTTTGGGAGGTGCTGTGTCAGCCCAGGATTGGTCCTGACTGACGGGACAGGCCGCGCGCGCTGCCAGGGAAACCTTTCACCCCCATCCCCAGCCTGGCACGTCTCCCAGCTGTCCTTTCCAACAGACAGACACCCTCCCCCCCAGGGAAGGTGGGTGGCCTTGCCCGGGACCCACTCACATGGAGAGAATGGGGGCCACCATGTCCAGGGAGGCGATGAGGATGCCCAGCTCAGCGATGAGGGCCGTCAGGAGGAGCGCCCACGTCGGCTCGCCGTTGGCCTTGCTGTGGCCAAACACCTGCATGCACGGCCCCCTGGGGTCAGCCGGGCAGCAGCTGCCCCCATCGCCCATCCCACAGCATGGGCCGCCAGCCCCAGGTCCCTCCTCCCCGTTAGGGCACAGGCCTCTCTCATTCCCGTAGGTGGCACAAGCTTCCCCGCCCGAGGCTTGTCTCCTGGTCTCTGATGGAGATGAGCCTCAGAGGCACCACGAGGATTCGAGGTCCAAGCAGGTTGGCGGCCCCCATCAGGGCCAGGGCCAGGGCCAGGGCCGCTCTCAGCTCTTGCCCCTGCAGGGCTGCCGGGCTCTGGCGGGCCCCTGCTGTACACCCGCCCTCTCCCACCCAGCCAGTGTGTGGGGCTGGGTGCCCCGGCTGTGGACCTGGAAGGCTCACCCGAAGGAAGGGGATGATGTTGTCCTTGGCGATGGCTTGCAGCAGGCGGGGTGCCCCGGTGAGGCTCTGCAGGCCAGCACCACAGGTCGAGAAGAAGGAGCCGATGACAATGACCCAGGGTGAAGGCCAGGCCAATGTGCCCACCACCAGGTTCCTCCTGACACCGTCGCCATACCTGCAGGGACCAGGCTCAGGCCACGCAGTGCAAGGAGCCCCCAACTCCAGGGCAAGGGATGCAGGGTGGTGGGGGGGGGTGGGGAGAATGGGCTGTGGTGGGCAGAGCTCTGGACCCTCAGCCAATCTGCAGGCCCCTATCCTGCTCACCCCCAGCCCCGATTGACCCAGTCCTGCAGCCTCACCATCCCCAGGGATGGGGGCAAAGTACTGGTGGGACAAACACCAACCAGCCGTCTGAGGCCACCTAAGTGGGACTGCACGTGTGTGTGCGCGTGCGTGCCTGTGTGCGAGTAAGAACACGGGGAGGGAGGGTCCCGGCTCACTTACTTGTCCCGGAGAACCACCCCCTCGATGCAGGCGCCAAACAGAACCACACTGCTAAAGTCTGTGGCTGCATTAAGGAAAGCCAGGCCCCACCTGCTGCCTGCCCTCCGGCCACCCGCACCCCACCACCCGGCTCGAACACCTAAACCGGAGGAGGGCCAGGGTCACAACAAAGGATACACACAAGGGAGGTCGTGACGATGGCCAGGATGGTCCCCACTGGGATAGACTTCTGGGCGTCGCGGAGGTCCCCGGAGCGGTTTGAGCCCGCCATGATGCCTCCAAAAACCAGAAGAGACTCCCTCAGCCATGCCCTCCCCTCCCCCCCCCCCCCCCATCGGAGAGGGGCCGGCGGGCCTGCTGCAGGGCGGAGGGGCTCACCTGTCACGGAGGGAAAGAAGATGCCGACCAGCACGGTGAAAGACGTGGCGATGTCGGCCACCACGTACAGGGGCAGGCTCTCCTTCAGGCCCGGGGCGTCTGTGGAGGGCAGCCCGGGCTTTGCCACCACCTCACCCTTCTCCAGGTAGGCGCTCCACAGGTTTTCTGTCGGGGGGGCGGTGGGGGGGTGCCGTGTCACCACCTGGCTCTGCCTGGGGAAGCGGTTCACTGGGCCCAGTGGCAACCGGGCCAGCCATGGGCTGCTGCCCTGGCTTCAGAGGAGGGACTGTCCAGACACAAGTCTGGTAGGCAGAGGTGGCCGAGCCACCAGCAGCCAGGGCCTGGCCACTGCCTGTCCCCTGGACAGAGGCCCTTTATGACTTGTGTGGGGACATTCCCAGGAAGCATCAGAGGACCAGGGGCTGGCGAGGGGCTGCAGCTGGCCTGGGGCGCTGGCCAAACAGGCTCTCCTGACACCCCGGCTGCCAAGAGCCAGGCCTAGATGACCCTGCTGGGCTGGGAAGGCAGCCAGACCAGCGCCACCCCCCCCAACCCCCCAACTGCACAAGGCAGGCTCTGTGCTCCCTCCGGCTCAGCAGGAGGCAGGGGACGGGCTGCACCTTGGAGAACGCTGGTGCCTGCACCGAGGATGCCGGGGATCTCAGTGACGTTGTTGAGCAGGAAGTAGGGGTCACAGGCGTCCACGGTCAAGTTGGGGCCGTGGCAGAAGAGCCTGGACAGCTGACTGGCCACTGTCTCGTTGCCCACAATGGCCATCTTGGCGCAGACGTCAAACAGGTCCCGGGACAGGGTCCTGTTGCCCAGCATGCACACTCTGTGGGGGGCAGAGGTGCTGACTGGTACCAGCCCAGCTTGGGGCTCAGCCTGCGGGCTGGGAGGAGCATGCCTGAGCCACTTACGGAAACTCTGGAGGGTCGAAAATCGACTTGATGCCCCCCGCATAGATGGAGAGGATGGAGATGATCACGCAGGCCAGGAAGACGGAGGCAAACTTGTTCACGTACTTGACACCCACAAACACCACCAGGGTCATGAGGGTCAGAAAGAGGGTCCCGTACACACGCATGTTGTTCAGCGTGGCGCCGGGCATGTCGTGGGCGCCTGCTGGGTGGAAGATGGCAGCCGGTGGAGCGATGTAGGTCTGGAACAGGAAGGTAGGCAGAGAGGAGGTGATCTTCGCGCCTGCAGCGGGGGCAGGGGTGCCCATCTTGGATTTTTTTTTTTTGTAATCATTTTATTGGGGGCTCATATAACTCATCACAATACATACATACATACATGCATTGTGTCAAGCACACTTGTTGCCCTCATCATTCTCAAAACATCCGCTCTCCCTGCCACTGAGTTGGCTCTGCCTCCCGCCAGGCTCCTTCACGCAGACGAGAGGGGCCTTGGGTGTTTCCAAGGCTGCTGGTCTCTCTCCCCACCCTGGCTGCTCCTGCAACTCAGCAGCCTGACCTACCACCCACTCGCCACCAGCCCTGAAAGGCTGTGTATGTCTCTGACATGTGCAGACAGGCCTGCCCAGAGAGCAGGTCTGGAGGCAAGGACAGAGACCCCACTGATGGGTTCCGGGCTGGTGACTATGCTCTAGAGCTGGCTGAGGGGACAGCTGACTGCTTTGGGGCCACACCAAAGCCACTGGCCCCTACACTTCACCTGTCGAAGCGTTATCTCAACAAGGCGGCTTTGGAAAATCCTGGAAGAGCTCCCGATAGGCAGGGCTGGCCAGCCTGAGCAACAGAACCGTCCAGGGATTGGGTCCTCACCAGAGACAGTGAGTGAGCGAGTGAATGAGAGAGAGGACAAGGGTTCCTTATAAAAGAACTATAAATGCTAACTAGAAGGAATGTGAGAAAACAAACATAGTAACACCCCTACTTTTATGCTGAGCCAGAGAGCCGGCAGGGAGGGATGGGGGAGGTGGAGGTTCAGCAGTTGCTCACCCCGACTCTGGCGTGAAGACAGGCAGAGTCAGGCCCTGGGACAGAGCCCGCACAGTTGGGCAGATCCCCCAAAGACCCCTGGGAAAGTCCATGCTGCATTGGCATCACACCTGCCACTGCCTGGGGGGCACAGACTGACAGGTGCCCACCCTGGGGGCCAGCGAGCAGGAGATGCCCCGAGGGACCACCTGGGGGATTCCCGCCTGCTGGTCCTCAGCTCAGCTCCGGCTCTGCTCCTGGGTCTCCCTTTGGCATGTTTGTCCTCAGCCCATGTTCTCTCTCCAGGTCACAGAGCACCTGCCCAGGTGGCCGTGAAGACCCAGGGCTAAGGCACAGTGGCCAGGTGGGAAGTGGTGTGGGGCCTGCCTAGAACCAAGAGCCTTCTCCCTGGAGGCCACTGGCCATGTCCTGTCCTGTCCTCCCCTCCCTCGGAGGCGGGGCTGGCCGTGGTGCACTCACCAGCAGGATCTCAATGGCCCCCAGGATGTACATGGCTGCTGCGAACGTCGTTCCCAGGTAGAAGCACAGGCCCACGGCACCTCCGAACTCTGGCCCCAGCGAGCGGGAGATCATGAAGTAGGAGCCCCCAGCTGCAGCAGAGAGACAGAGAGGCTCTTCTTTCCCCGGTTTCCCCGTGCCAAGTCCTCACAAAGGGTTGGGACATCTACTGGGCCGGGCGGGCTTCAGTGACAGCAGTGGCTGGGTGGCCACCGTCCTCCTGTTCCAGCCACCACCAGGGCCACACCTTGGCGAGTCTGACTCCTCCTGGCCAGAATGGGGCTGTGACCTGTGCTGCTTTTGTCCACAGAGCCTACCATCAGGTGAGTAAACACAGCCACCCCTCCTGCCCCCCGTCTGAGCTCGGATCAGAGTCGAACACCCCTGGAAATTATGACCCTGCCAGAGACCTGTGGGGGTGCAGTGGGGTGGGGTGGAGTGGGACGGGGGTGGAGGAGGCTCACCCACCTGGTACCACACCGTTGGTGGCGATGGCGCTCATGGAGATAGCCGTCAGCAGGGTCTGGGGGGCGAGGGG